TGGTCCTTCCGAACCCATTGGTCTCGTGATCTCGCACTCTCGGTTTTTAAACACTTTGAAGTCTCGGTCTTGCGATCTAAAATAGTCAAAAATGTCTTTGGTTCCCAAAAAACAACAACAACGCTAGTCTCGCCTTCTGGCAAAATTTGCCATCCACCGTCCCTAAATCTCGAGCTTTTAAATCTCAGTAATTGTTACAAGAGATTTTAATTATATTTCTCGTAGAGAATCCATGCCTCGACCCAACATACCAAGGATATTTAGGTGACCTCTGGCCTAGTCTGTCCGCAGGTCCTCTGTTTTGTCTTGAGTTCGTCGAGATCGCAAGGAAAACATTAAGAATAAAAATGAAACGTTTGTGGACAGACTGCTGCTGGCTTTTGCTTACCAAGGTGAAATGAAGTTGTTGGGATTATATTCAACAGGCAACGTGATGGTTGGACCACTGAGTGTCAGAGATGGTAGACCCCTCCCTCCGGAATTAGAGAAATTTGTCAGCAATTCAGGGGGCCATGGCTTTATTATTGTTTCCTTTGGATCAAACGTGGCTTCAATTCTTTCACGAAAGGTGGTAGACATGCTAGCTGTAGCATTTGGAAAGCTGAAACAGAAAGTTGTGTGGAGGCTCAAAGGTATTAGTGTAATATATAAAATCAAGCAATCAGTCGGCAACTCCATTTCCACGTTTTACCTTTTTCTTCAGGGAAAACGGTGAATAAGTCAGTTTTTGGATCGAACAGTCTTTTCATTTGTTTATCTCATGGTATTTCCGTCCGTCAGCCGGTCTGCTGGCTGTCGTTTTTTTTTTTTTTGAACGATATGTTTTAATGTCGACGAAAATCAAAATCTGTATTGTATGAAGTCTCAATCTTGAGCATTTGGTAAATTAAGCTCTCACTCTGCTAAGTTTTGCGTAATCTGTTAAACACGAAATACCAGGTTTGACCACATTTCCAAACATCGAGAAGAGAGTTGAAAATACGACGCGTAGCGGAGTATTTTTGACGAACTACGAGGTGTTTTTGAAATGTGGTCAAACACTGTCTTCATTGTTTGATATATCTTCTCAATCGAAGCTAAAACTAAAGAGAAATCCGAGAAAGAAAATTGTAAAAATCTCCTCTAATTAAGATCAGATATCCAACCAAGATTTACAAATGTCCGGAGTAGTGTGGACAGGGTCTTTGGCCCCGCTGGCGTTTTAGTGTGGACGAAACAAACATTTTGAAAACGGAGCTTTACGAAAAACCGTGACGTCACGATAAACATGTGATTTACCTGCCCGAGTTTTCCTCAAACACAAATCCAAAATGGCCGCTGATTGTTGCGTTTTCAAATTTCTCCAGCGTAGTGTGGACGGAAAAAAATTGATGC